CCTCCCTCCCCCCTCCCTCTCTCCCCCTCCCTCTCTCTGACTCGATTGTTCGCGATGCCCCCGTGTGCCTGCTTTTGCTTCTGTCCGATTTTCTTTCCCTTGCTCTTTGTGCACCGCTCATCCTGCCACGGTTCAGCCAACCACACCGAGTACATCACGGCCCCGGGGCAAGCCCATGGGCCCATGAGTTTGAGCATTAGCACCAAGCGCTCGACCAGCTCTTCAGATGCATACATGATCAGTACCGAGGTGATTCTGCGCATGGGCACGCGGCCCGTGTCGCACCATGAGGCCACCTTCAACTTGCGCCCGGGCATGCTGTCGCGCATTTGCGCCGGCGGCTTCTCCGCATCGCGCATCCCCGTTGACAAGGTCCTTTACGAGCTGGTCAAGGAGGTCCCCGACCTGCAGCGGGTCACGCCGGATGCCTTCATCCGATGCAAGCGGCCGGAGGTGGTGGGCAAGCTGCTGCTGGAGTCCGATCGTCGCCAGGTAGGTCTTGCCTTCTTTCTTTTTTCCCCTGGCTCCCTCTCCTCCCTGCTGTGCTGGTATTGCCTGGTGTAGGCGTCAGGCTGACTTCCGCCCTGCCATCCTCCCCTCCCCCCCCCCCCCCCCGCCTCCCTCCTGGTGCTTTGTGTTTTTTTTTATGGCCGCTCGCCTCAGTTGAACACCACTTTCAAGTTTGGCGTGCTGCACGCGCGCCGCGGGGCTCCGCTGAATGAGGTGACCCTCTTCAACCACCTCCCGCTGACCGGCTCGCAGGCGGCCACCGAGCAGCGCATGATGTCCGAGACGAATGCCACCAAGTCGCGGCCGACCCTCTTCGACCCGGCTCGGCTGAATGGCATGCAGAATTCCAAGACCGTGCCCTTCCTGCCGGTTCTGTTTGACATGTTCCTGGCGCGCATCGGGCGCCTGGTGGAGCTGAAGGACTGGGGGAAATTCCGCGGCGGCCTGGACAACAAGACCGACACCACCGGCACGCACTCGGTCTTCACGCAGTTCGACAACCTGTATGATGTCATGTTCCATGTGTGTGAGATGCTGCCGCACAAGGAGGGCGACACGCAGCAGCTTGAGCGCAAGCGCCACATCGGCAATGACATTGTGGTGGTGGTCTTCTGTGATACCATCGGCGAGCTGATGGGCCTGGGATATGGCGAGGCCGAGCGCGAGCAGCGGCCCAATGCGACCCCCACCACGGCCCGCAAGTCCGGGGCCTCCTCCATCGATAACATTTGCTTGAGCCACCAGATCCGTGCGTTCCTTGTGGCGCTGTGTCCCTCCGCCCCCCCCCCCTCTCCATATCCCCGTCGATTTTGTGCCTACCTTTTTTTGTCCTTCGGGCCCCGGTTGCGGACCCTCGCCCCCCCCCCCCCCCCCCCCCCAGATGTGGCGGTTGCCGTGACCCCGGTATCGGAGTCCCTCTACCTGGTGCGCATCATCCGGAAGGACGGTGTGTCGCGCTTCTTGCCGGAGGCGCAGAAGTCCAACTTCGTGTCGTCCGGTCTGCTGGAGGAGCTCTCCAACAAGCACCCGAGCGCGGCCCTCTTCACGCCCTCCGGCGGGGAGACCCCCTTCGAGCCGGACCGCGACAACGACTGGATCCTGATGCGGTCGTCGGATGGGAACTTCGAGCAGGCCTTCATTTGGCTATTGATTCAGGCCGAGCGGGCCGCCTTCCGGGCCGCCTCCTTCGATGCGAAGCTTTCCCGCACGCGGAATGCCATGCTGTCGAATGTCATCGACTCGGCGCGGGCCGAGATGGGTCTCTAGGGGTTTTGGGTGTGGGGCGCATGTGCCCGGCTCTGCGCGCCTTCTCCCCCTCTCTACCACCTCCAGCCGATTGTCCCCTCGCCTGGTTTCTGGCTGATTCCCTCCCTCCCTCCCTCCCTTTCTCTCTCTCTCTCTCTCTCTCTCTCTCTCTTTCTGCGTCCCCCTCTCTGGGGAGGACAAAGAACACCGGATCAGGGGCGGCAGAACAAAAGCAGGCTCTCCCCCCTCCTCTCCGCCCTGCTTTCTCCCTTTCGCGTTGATCTTCCGCCTGTCCTTTTTTCAGGCATGTCACCAGACGCATCTAGCGTCACAATACAGCACATGTCGACTCCGGCCCTCCTCCCCGCTCTTTCTTTCTTTCCCTCTCTCGCGTCTCAAAAAGCAGGGATGCGTGTCAATTCGGTTGAGCATTTCCCGGCCTGTGCCCTCGCGTGTGCACAGGAAAATGGCGGCGCAGGCATGGGGAAGCATGTGTCGGGTTATATTTCAATATGTGCGGGCATGTGAAAAAAGAGGGGGGGAGAGGGGGAGGAAAGCCCCAAGGCTGGGCATCTGATGGAGGGAGAAAAGGCGAGCGCAGGGGCGGCCAATTGTGTTCACTCCTCGTCTTCCTCGTCCTCCTCGTCATCGGTGCCACACTCGCCATCACAGTCGGAGCCGCACTCGTCGCCGCAGCAGCCCTCGCAGTCGGAGTCCTCACAGTGGCCATCCTCCTCGCCATCCTCCTCGTCATCCTCCTCGTCCTCGGAAGAGGAAAGCCCATCGAGCTTCTTCTGCGCGCGGTGCTTCTCCACGTTCCAGTCCTCATGGACCAGGTCGAAGTCCTCGTTGAAGCCGAGGCGGCGGAGGTCGCGCATGGTCTCGCGCGGGTCGGCTGGGTCCGTATGTATGGAGAAGAGCGTCGGGGTGTTTCGACGGTCAGAAAGGAATACCCGACCCCCGGAAAAAAGTCCACGGGCGACGCCCCCCTCCTCCCCCCCGGAAATATAGACACGCGTATGTGCCAGGGCGCGGTGTGTGTGTGTGTGTGTGTGTGTGTGTGCACGCACCCAGCGTCTGCAGGTGGAAGAAGTCCAGGAAGCCGCCGCGGGAGAGCTGCTTGCAGGCCAGCTCCGGGTCGATGTTGGCCTCCTTGGCCGCATCGGCGTCCATGGCAAAGTAGAGGATAATCTCGTCCAGCTCGTCCTCATCGAAGCCCACCCCGTTGGAGGCGGCCGTGAAGTTGACGATGTCCGGGCGGCTCATGTAGCCGTCGGCATTGCTATCTGTGATGATGGGCGGATGGGGGGGGGGGGGGAGGGAGGAAGGGGCATAGGTGAGATACGGCCGAGGGAACAACGGAGGACCGGAGGCGGAAAGGAAGAGGAGAGAAAGAGAGAGAGATGGACAGGAGGAGAGTGGGAGACACAGGTCGCACCAAAGCGATCGAAGATCTTATTGAGAGCAGCCTCGAACTTGGGGACGAAGTGATCCGTCTCGTTGTCGATCATCTTGCTGAAGTAGCTGGGCATCTCAATGGCATCGGTAGACATGGTGACAGTAGTATTGGGGGTTTCGCGGGGGTTTGACGTGCGCGCAGAGGAGGGGAGGGGAGGGGAGGGGGGAGGGGGGACAATGGAGTGGAGGTGCTGAGCTTGGAGCAGCAACCGGACTGTTGGCCGGTGCCCTAAGAGCCTCGTGTGTCCCGGATGGCAGGGCTCCGATGATGGCAGGAGGGGCGACAGTGCGATCTTGCTCTCTCTCTCTCTCTCTCTCGGAGGCGCAATGGAGATCCTGGGCCTCTGCGCGCGCCCAGAGGGCGGGCGAGGGGGGGCGGGGGAGGGCGCCAAGCAGGCGGATGCCGGTGCATGGGGGTGGAAACGCACTGAATTTCCCGGAGCCGGGGGGGGGGGGGAGATCTAACCTGGCGCGTGGGTCCAAGGAAAAGAGACGATCAGCCGTGTTGCGTGGGCTGAAACACGTGCCGCAGGGGCTGATTAGCCACACATATCGGCTGATCGGAGGAAGTGACGTGCGCCACGGCGCTACGGCGCCAGGTCTCAGGCAGCCGACAAGTACGATCGGGCCGAGGGGGTGTGCTTGGCCCGGGCAGAGGACGGCAGGAGGGGGGGTCCGGCACTGAAGGAGGTGCCGGGGCAGAGGCATGGAGGTTAATGCCGAGTTGGAACGGGGCCCTCGGCGGGGAAATGAATGTTGCTGTGCCAGGCGGGGGGGGGGGGGATGTGCTGCGAGCAGGCTCCTGTCGGAGGTGTGTCCTGTATGCGCGCGCATGCGTGCCGCAGTGCACTCTGTGCCAACGGGATACGGCGCGGGCCCGGGGACGGTGCAGCATGGACTCCGTGCGTGCTCGTGGAGAGGCCTCAGCCCCCGCTGCGTTCTGGGGTGCCGGTGGGGACACGCCGGGGCCTCCGCCATCCTTGACTGGGGATGGAGAGGGCGCCGGCGACAAGTGATGAGCGTGGCAACTGGCGGGGGGAACGAGCCCCCAGATGTTCCGCCCCCCCTCCCCCTCGGGCCGGGGGGCAACCCTGGGAGAGGCAGGAAGGTGGCCACCATCCCTTGCGCCCCTTTGGGCGAGGGGGTGGGTGGCCGGCGCGCGCCTGCGTCCTGTTTGGGGTTCTGGTGTGCTGGTTTGCTTTTGTGGTTTTTATTTCGCTTGGGGGGGGGGGGGGGGATCGCGCAAGCCTCGGGGGCGCGGTATATTGTCACCCGCCATATTCCCTGGCGGTCGGCCCGGGCCTCGAGAGTTTTTGCTGGCATCCGTGGTGGGTATGCGAATGCACGCGCGTATCTGGATGTGTGCGAACGGCGGGCCCACCGGGCCGCCCCCTCCAAGTGGCAGAGGCCCGGAGGAGGCGTGCACAAGGACCGGGGAGGGGCTTCACAAAAAACGGAGGGCGCGGGGGGACCGGGCCGAGGGCAAGGGGAGTCGGGCCGCCTTTTTTGCCCCTTGTCCCCCGGCCCCAGGGTGCGGAGTCGAGGAATGCGGGCCCCTTGGGCGAGAGGCATTCCGGTCTCCCAAGGGGTGTGTGGGGGGGGGAGGAGCCTCACCCCCTTCCCGGCTTCCTGGGATGGCCATGGAGGGAGGGGGGGGGGGGGGGGGGGGGGGGGGGGGGGGGGGCGCACCGGGGCGCATGCGTCGCGAGCGTCCCCCTTCCGGCACTCCCTCAGGGCGGGTGTGTCGTCGGCCGGCGGCGACACTGCGGCGCGCGGGTTCCCGCGTTTCCCCCGGCCCCCTCCCACCCCCCGGGAGCCCGGCCGGGGAGCGGCGCAGCCCTTTTGGTGCCCATGTCCGGTGAGGCGAGCGAGGGCGCCGGAGCACAGATGCCCGCTCAGGAGCCGAGGAATGCGCCCGCGCCCGGCGGGATATGCAGAGGGCCCGAGTGGCCGGTGGGCCGCCGGGGCGCCTCCCCCGCGCGGAGAGTTGGGACCTCCGGACTCGTTCTTCCGGTATTGCCCCGGCCGGCGGGCAAGGGCCGCATCGACGCCTGGGCAGGTTGTTGTGGCTTCCTTGCCGCCCCGGGGCCAGACGTCCCCACCTCCCGGGGGGGAGGGGGGGGGTGCGGAGGCCGCCGCTCACGAGTCATTGGTCGGTCGCGCCTGCCCCTGCCCCGTCCTCACCACCGGCCGGGGGCGGGGGGGGGGGGGGGGCCGTCATGGCCCCTCCCCAATATATATCGGCCGCGGGGCGGGTGGAGGCCGGCACGGGCCAGCCTCATTTGTGCGACGGCGTGTGGGCCTCCCGACGCGTGAGCGTGCGCCCTGTCGCCTGCCCGCGGCCGGGGAATGTGTGCCCGATGCACGCGGCCGGAGAAGAGCGGCGGGCGGGGGGAGGGGGGGAGGCCGGGCACCGGATGCCGGCACTTGCATCATCGGGGGCGGCGGGTTTTCTGCCTGTCGCGAGCTCGCTCTCGCTCCGGGCCGGGGATGTGGGTCAAATGTTGTTCCTCCGCCGGTGCCCCGGGCGTCGTGGCCCCGCAGGGGGCGCCGGGCGAGGGCGGGGGGGGGGGGGGGGGGAAAACACAACCACACACACACACGAGAGGGCTGAGCCGCCGAGGGGGTTGTTTCCAGAGTCCCCCGCCCACCGGGCTGCCTCTCTGCTGGCCCTCGCGAAGGGAGGGATCGACAGTTGCCGGGTCCGCCGAGTGACCACACCGCTGGGGCTTGTGCCCGTGCGTCCGGTGCCATTGGCCAGGATGCGGTGTGAGGCCGTGACAGTCTGCTGCTGGTGTTGCCTCGCCGAGCCGCCCGGCCCGCCTGTCCCGGGTCCGGATGGGGGCCCCTGCTCGAGCGGGTCTCGTGCCTGCGAGCCGACGACGAGCATGACAACGCTTCGGGTCGGCGAGGGGGGCGGGGAAAGGCCCGGCCGCTGGGGGGATCGCATCCCGCTGTGGCCATCCTCGCAGCGCGGCCGGAGTCCCGCCGCGCGCCGGCACACGACGCCGAAATCAAGCGGCCACAAGTCGATGCCTTTTGTCCCCGGGCAAGGGGTTGCGAAGGACAATGTGCGGGGTTCACACGGGCCGGGGCGCGCGCGGGCTCGCGCGACGCTCCCCCGGGGCTGGCCCCTCGACTGGGTGTGTTGCGAAGGCTGACACCCGCCCCGCCCTTGGCCCGGGTGTGGGTATCAGCCCCGGTGTGGAAGTTTGGGCCCCGCCTTGGGGCTGGCCTGCGCCCGCCTTCGCCAGCCTCGGCCGCCAGCC